TATCTTGTCTTTACTGTACCTAATCTCTCATCCTCGGTGAAGCCCATGATCTCCATGGCCTCCAGAGTCTCATCAAACATCTCGTCGTCCTGCTGACCAGGGATCTCCACGTGACCTGCCCTCAGGAAACGGTAGCTGCTGAAGTCCTCCAGCAGCAGCTCCTCTGCAAACACACCCAGACCTTAACCTTAAACCAAGTCCTCACTTACAGTTGACGATTTACATAATGGGGACTACTTTTTATCCCCTAAAGCGAGGCAGGTCTTTACAATGTGACACAATGTGTAAACATATATATGTCCGACGCACACGAAATAAAAATAATCCATTTGTAAGACAGATATGAGTTTCATCTGTGCAGCCGCTACAGGATATGCTTAGAAGAAGTTTCTTTATTAAACAGAAACAAGCTGTTGTGGATTTAGGAGGAGTTGCCACATTATTATTGTGTAGATGATGTGTTGAGGAATTCCTGAACTGATACAATTACTGTAATTTACATGAACATTTCAGGTTTGTGCTACTTAATACTTCAACTCCACTGCAGTTGCTTGAAAATTTTGCAGATTTAGTTTAATAATACAAAATGCAATCAACAAAGAAATAATTACTTAATATTATATATTGTGATAAAATTTCACTGAGGGGAAAATACACAACCAGCAGATATGGATCAGTCAAATCACTTTTACCTGCTCCAACATTAAACAAATAAATGCATATAATCCAATAATATGCATTATTACAAAATACGCATAGTGAGCACTTTTACTTTTGGTACTTTAAGAATATTTTCTAACCTGTGGTATTGGTAACTTTAGAAATCCAAGAAATTGGTCTTTGGATTTAACAACCAGGTTTTCTACAGAAACAGTTTCAGTCCAAAGTTTACTTTTCAGGCTGCCAGATCTTAATGTCATTGGAGAGCAGATCATACCTTGTTATAAACCTTGCAGACAGTCAAATTTAAGAATTTGCAACTTCCTATTTAACTTACCTGCAGACTCCACCCAAGAAGAAGTTTAGGGAAAGCTACATAAGCAACCCATAAATACAGCTCTTACTGACTCTAAGATACCATCAAAGTATGTATTTTTCCATTAAAATGCAAGCAGTATTGATATTTTTCTGATGTCTAAGCTGCTTACCCTTCGTCTTGTCTTTGGCTCCTGCCACCATGTAGTAGAAGATGTGAAAGGCTCTCTCAGTGCTGGCCTGACGAATACAGCGAGACTTCTCCAGCAGGTCTGATGGTCGGATCAGGAAAAAGTAAAACGGGTGTTTCATTTAATCTTTTTACTTTCACAGTCATGATGTAGCAAATACATATATATTTTTAAAAAATGAATTTAAAAAGGATACAGGTATCAATATTTGCCCCAACGATATAGCCAGTCACATCAAAGTTGAGCTTGATGAACTTTCCCTGTGGACAGAGATGATGACAGCAGCTGTATGAAACCCTACTGTGGCAATTAAACATCACAGTTTTACTAGCAGTTATGTTTGTGTTTATGTTGACTAACAAGCTGATGAAATCACTTACAAATCGTGAGGAGTTGTCGTTCTTGATGGTTTTAGCGTTGCCGAAGGCCTCCAGGATCGGATTCGCCTGCAGCAGCTGCTTTTCCAGCTCCCCCTGCGGTCCAAAATGCGGTTACACATCTGTTTCTGCACAGCATGTACCAGCTGATGTTTACCCAGTACAATGCAGACTCACACCAAAACTGATCTGCATACTTTTAAACAGAATGCATTCCAATGTGCAAGAGTGGCAATGTTTTCTGTTGATGAATTTGAAGTGAAAGTGTATCTGTATAAGTTTGAATACTCACGTAGGCCAGAGATCCTGCCTGCTGTTGCTGCAGGAAAAGTCACAAAAACAAACTAATTAGAAACTGCAAGAGGTAAATGCTCCCCATAAGTATCCTCTTTTAAAAATTTTTTTTAGAAAAAGGTGCTCCATTTAGCTTTTCCCCAAAATTGGCAGCTTGAAACCGCTAAGCAGCAGAGGTCAGGGGTCAAGCATCCATAAATCGTACCCAAACAAACCACAGAAGATTCATGACTGGATTAAATGCAGTTGAGCGAAGAGCAGCTGTAACTTTAAATCAGCATTAGCGAGGATTTGTTGGAAAATATGAAGACTTCTTCTTTCCATTTTTTTTTAGAAATGCAGCGCTTCACTATTAATGGCATGTTTATTTATGAGATTGTTAAAAAAAAATCTTTAATAAGAAATGTATGAAAAATCAAAAGCAGCAGCAACAGCAGAAGCACGCACAACAACAATCTGTCCTCACCTTGGCCACAGCGGCAGCAACTGAGTCCTGTGTAGCACAATTTATGCTTCAACATTTTATGGCAGGTCATAGTTAACAACAACTTTGTTTCTTATCTATTTTCTATACATTGAAAATGTATGTGTGATTATATTGTATTGGAGTACAGCAACATAAAATGTTAACATTTTTTTTGTTACTAAGTTAGCTGTTGCCGTATTTTGGTGGCTGCTTTGGCTCAGTAATGTTACTGATGCAAATCACCTTTTGTGAGCCAGTGAAATGGAAAAATCTCTGGAACAAAACACTTGACACGACAGACTTTAGTCAACAGATCTGACTTTTTCAGTAAGCTAATGTTCTGATAGCAGTGATGGAGCTCAGGGCTCAACCTGAGGACAAATGATTGAGCTAATAAACTGGTACTGTTCAGCGTATGCAGGTGAATAAGACTCTGCAGGTATCCTCTTATACTGAGTGAGATTGATTTAGGCACATGGGCTCATCAGACCATAGACTACAGTCTGTATGTGACCCACAGACTGAAAGCACAAGTTTCATGCCAAAGCACACATTTGGCAACACTGTAGAACCCCAGAAATACAGACGCTCTCAACTTTGATCCACTCTACAGATGCAATTAATCCATAGATATTAGAGATAATTGTAAGATATATCAGTCATTATTGAAAGTTTTTACCCTGTCTTGCTTTTAGCACATTATTCAGGTGGTTTTTAAATATGCAAAAATCTTTGCACACCTCTCCAAACATCTCAGTGATATTCTTGAAAGCTTCTACTCACAGGGTTGACGTCCTTCTTGCCCTTGTGCGACGAGGCGACGACAGCCAGGTACTGAATAACCTTCTTGGTGTTTTCTGTTTTCCCGGCTCCAGACTCACCTCTGGTGGACATGGGAGGAATGACAAATGGAAGTGAAAAAGGGAAGATGTAGAAGTTTGAAAATGCAGAACAGTCATCTGTATAGTCTGAAGAGTGAGGTGTGTTATTTATTTATTTATTTATTTATTTTTGTAAAGCTTATATTCTGTGATTTGAATTATTCACATTTAGAAAAGGATGGAGAAACCTATTGATTGATAGAAAAACTCATCATCAGAGCAGCCATTTTGATAATCAATCAATCAATCAATCAATCAATCAATCAATCAATCAATCAATCAATCAATCAATCAATCAATCAATCAATCAATCAATTAATAAGCTTTTAATTTGGCAAAAAAAGTCAAAATTTTACCAGGTGCAGCTTCTCACATGTGAATACTTGCTGGTTTTCTTTCTCCTCCATATTGATAAATAACAGTTTAGGGTTTGTATTTCATTTTCTTACTGGATGCTGATTTGCTAAGCATCAAACAAAGGCGTAATCAAGAAAGTAATCAGATCGGGCAAGAAGGACTTGCAAGATCAGAATGTGTGGACAAAACACAAGTCTCTGCAATGTATATCATTTGGTTTTTAAGGGGTCAACTCTTGGTTTAAGGCCGTTTCCAGGCAGCTCATGTGATTCTTTGCAATGCCTCCCTTCACTGCCAGTTTGTATGTGCTCAAATTCATAGTACAGTGTGATGGAAAAAGGTCAAGTGTTGTCTGTTTTGACTCACGTGCAGAGAATAGACTGATCCTCACGGTCTGTGGAGAGAGAGAGAGAGAGAGAGAGAGAGAGAGAGAGAGAGAGAGAGCGAGAGAGAGGGAGGGAGGGAGTGAGAGAGATGTTAAGATGTTGACTGAACTGAACTCGTTAGTTGAAGCCAAGCTGAACAGACCAAACATGAACTCTGAGGCGAGCGCTTGCCTCCCTCGGACACAAGAGCGAACAGCTCTGAGATCTTGTTCGGAGGGAGATTAGCCTCCATCACTCATATCATCTAAAAATAGCAGGTGGATGCGGGGCTCCATCGCTGTAATCTTGTCTCACTGCTCCATGTATGGCCATTTTGGAGTTGAATGGAAAGTACGGAGTTGGTCTGAGGTCACCGGTGGACCATCCGGAGAGCAGACGGCACGCTCTGAGGCTTCAGTCGGGGCTGCTCGCTGCCACCGCTCACCTCTCATTTGGTAGCTTTCATTTGCAATGTGTGTGGTTGCTGTTTCATAAACTATAGTGTTGTAGAAAAAATACACTGCTGGGGGCTTTGACCAACCACGTGGCAATAATGTGACTGTTTCTCCATCCTCACTGGATTATGTAGCAGCAGAAGCAGCAGCAGTTAGTAACTATAGGAGCGGTAAGAAATGCAAAGAAAATGCAGGATAAATTCATAACTTACAAGATTAAATATTAGGGCTGTATTGTCCAGGTTGATATGGACCAAATTCTCAGACAGTTATATGTCATTGTTTATCATCATTTATCTTGTGGTGTTACTTTCACAAGGATTAAAGCATCAACAGCCTTCCAGCATTAATCCATTATTTTTGGCGGCAGGAGGAACAGACAACCTGTGAACACCCCCACATTGTCACACATTTGAACTCGCCCAATCAAATGACTGCTTTAAGATCTAGCTTATTTAACATTTACTAAGGGTTTACTCGGCTCCAACTTAGACCACACCAGGCCAAAGAAGTTGTCTGTGTGGCTGCACTTTGCTTAAATTAATGGCCAAAAGGTCAAGTGCAAACTTTGGAAGCAGCGGTTTGCATATCACAGCTCAACAACCAGAGGAATAATCTAAAAACAGTTGGCCAACTCATCCGTGTGATACTCCTCAGTCGTTCTTGAGCTGGGATCATGAGCTGATTTTGACATTTCTATGATCAGAAATATAAATTCTAGCAGATGCACACTGGTTGGTTATTATCATTTCAGTATAAAATAAAGTTCAAATTATTAATATGCTGCAAATACTAACAAATAAGGACAGCAGCTTGAGAGCACTAAATGTAATGTGGCTGATTTAATTCAACCAGGGATGATGTACAGACTTTTTCTCCCTGCAACTAATCAGTTGGTTAAGAGTAGGTACGATTTCATGCACCCAGTCCGACAAAATACGGAAATTAAGAGAATAGTTAGTAAATGAGAATAAAATCAAAAATGTTAAAAAGACATTTTCTTAATTTTCTTTCACTTTTCTTTAATTTCAGTGAGAGAGAAAAACTGCAGTATTTATTTATGTTTCAAAAAAACTGAGCCACAGTCCAGAAAAAGCAGAAATATAATCAGTATCTCATTCAATAGTCCCGTTACCTAAATCACATAAAAACAGAACTTTCACGGTTTGCAACACTTTCACATTGTACTCTTACTGCATGCTTAGACTTTTTTCTTGTGCACCAATCAGATGCACCTCCCTGAGTGACAGCTCTAACTAAACTACATTATCCATGGCCTGCTTTTGTCTCTCAGCAGCTGATACAGCAACAAGCATGTCTGATTCACCTCCATCCTGCATCCTTTAAAATGAGGATTGCTGGTACAGAATTATCTACAGAGTTATCTTCAGGTATCTTACTTTGTGTTGTAGCAGAAGATTGAGGTTTCTGTCAAAAAGTTTCAAGAGGGTGATGGTATGTGTTTTTAAAATAATTTGCTTTTGCCACAAAAGCATTATATTGTTTTATATGCTACTGCTGTGAAAACAACTACTTGATGCTATGACTTTTTTGTTCTTTCTAAAGAGGTTCCTGTTTTAAGTATTTAGCTTATATTTCTAGATCTGGATCACTGAATATGAACAATTTTTACACAGAGTTTTTCATTTTTGTGAAAGCAGCCTGATGCATTTGGACAATATGCCGACACATAAAGCACTTACCCTGCATCATGTTCCTGTAGGCGTTGTCTGTGATGGAGTAGATGTGCGGCGGCACCTCGTGGCGTTTCTTGCCCTTGTACATTTCGATGATCTTTTCAGAATAGATGGGCAGCATCTTATAGGGGTTCACCACCACACAGAACAGACCCGAGTACGTCTGAGTGAGGAAGAGAAAGAAAACACAGACAAGTTGTCAAAGCAGCCAGACAACTTAACCATCATCTTTATACCTGGTTTGTTAATGTTAAATACACCCTGCTACCTCCCTACAAAGGGGTGCATTTAGAACTTTGGAGATTTTCCGATTTCTCCTGTAACGTGTCTTCTGAACTCCAGCCTCATCTGTACCTTGTGTGAAAAGAAGTGTGCTCCAGCCATTGTTTACATATTCATGTGAAAACGCTGTTTCAGTTGTGACAGCCCTGTGCCCTCAGTTTTGTTCACATAATAATTTAAGCAGCAGTGGCCTGAAGGTTACAGAAACATGTGATCTTTAGGGGTGCTGGTTCAAAATTCAGTCTGGGGATTTCCTGAGCACATGGCATTTACTTTCACATTAGCAGTTGCTAAACTGTTAATCAGCTGTTCATGCATGCACAGATTTCACTAGGTTTTCATAGTTCGCAACCCATAATCACTTGTGAACTAATCACATTCAATGGTTGCATCTGAATTGTGGAAACATGATGGGACTTAATATTTAAAAAATAAATAAACCAATTTAAATACTACTACTACTACTACTAATAATAATAACAAACTAATGAAATGAGACCCATAATAATCACATAATCCGCACTTAAACAGTAATATAGATGCAGATCATTGTTTAAGCCTCTACTTATTAACCATCATTTCAAAATAAGAGCACCGAGAGGCATATTAGCTCAATGAGACTAAACAGAATAGTTCAAACCTAACAAGAGCAATTTAGGAGAAATAGCACTTAATCTTCTCAGAGCTGATTTCAGATTCATGGCCAGTTCAAGCAGCCCAACTTGAGTCCACTGCACACTCACATGACATCCTCCTCTCCCTGCAACTCACCCTTTAAATCACAGTGGTGTACTAAAACCATCAGTGCTCTGCTAATTCTTTTGCTGCACATCTGTCCACACTGCTGCACTGAAACCAAGACACTATGATATAAAGTTGATTTTGTGTTATTTTATTCAATCATTATTTTGAACGAAGGCACAAGTAACAGCTTGAAAGCTTCGGATTAAAGTCACAATCAGAAGCTGTGTGTTGACCTGTTGAGAGGTTATAATCAATGTATTAAATCCTGTGTTTGGATTCAGTGTTGGAAATATATAAAGCGCATGTTCACCATCTCCATCATGAAGCGATATTTTGTTGAATTTTAACACAAGTGAAGCAGAAATCACACTGATCAGAGTTTGCAGTGCATCCTCTGAGTGTACATTCCTTAGTGCTGGTGTAGAAAGCAACAATAATGCTGTACATACTCTGAACTAACATGTGAAGCTATGTCACAAGCTAACTGACAAATTAATTGTTTACTATATTGTCTGTAATTGTGGAGCAGCAAAGAAGTCAAAAGTAGGAGGACTCTGGCTCATACCACATGGGCTAAATATAAAACATTAGTCAGAATGAAATGACACAAAACATCCACGAAAGGTGAAGCTTTTCTGATGCACACACTCCTGACATCTGCAGATTTTTTAAAATCATTTATCTCTCAGTGATCGCAGTAACTGGTAAAGATGATTCCAACGTCCACCCTGAGGCCTAAGAGCTAAACCCTCACAGACCTGTGGGAGTTTACAAGGCCTCAAAATGGTAAAAAAAAAAAAAAAGACAAATTGGAAACAATATCGTTGCTTGGAAACAACACATCGCTGTAAAAATGCTCTTTTTGTGCACTTTTTGAGTATGACGGACCATATATATACACGTTATGTATACATCGCCAATTTCACTATGACCTTTTCCCATAGTCCCGCAGCAAAGTCTGTAGCTATGAAGACTCCCAGAAAGGGCATATAAAAGCATCCTCTGTGGAGACCTCATGCATCTGACCATCTGACAGTGGGACAGGACTAAAACCTCACGGACTTAACGGGAAAATGCCTCACAGTCTATAAATCCATGCATGTGGAGAGCGAGAGAAAAAAAATCTCACAGATGTCCACAGTTTTCCCTGTTGGTGACATCAGAGATAAATGCATTCATATTTTTTACAGTCTCTCATGAAGACAGATCAGATATATGCAGTGCTGTAATCAGCAATTTATTGATTTGCAGTTCAGCTGAAGATTTATCATTTTGTGATTGATGACTGAAGTCATTTCTATCTTACAAAAATGCAAAACTTTACTTCCAGCTTCCTCATTGTGCCATTTTCTCTGCTTTTCCTTCTTCCTTTCCTCTGTTATAGTAAAGTGAATCTCTTTAGGTTTTGATCTGTTTTTTTTCTCCATTTTCTTAATGATAAAAAAATTTAACTTAGAAAATAATCATCAGATTCATTGACAATGAAAATAAAATATGCATGCATCCTTTCATTACAGCAATAAATGTATTCTTAAAACTGCATGAAATGTCAGATACAGCCAGGCAGTGTATAATATCAAAAATAACCAGCCTACATTTAAAACTCCATATTCGCCTCCACAGACATACTGCACAACCTCTCAAATATACTTAAATACACCATTATTGCATGAAATTTGAGTTGCACATCATGTTCTAGTTAACATTCTGATTTAAGTTAAATTACTGCACTGCATCATCTTCCACCTGGTTGCAGCTCACATTCAGAGTACGAGATGTTGCTCATATAAGGACTGGAGGGACTGCAAATCTTAACTTCCAGTAATCTACATGGCAGCGTGTATTAGGTGATGCATAAGCTTGGATTTTAATGTTTTACATCCAGTACCTTATTAGACTTTGTAAGACTGACTAAAAAAATACAAACATAAGCTGTTGATCCTTCCAGTGCACCCTAAGTCTGCGTAGGGAACGCAGCGTCTGATCACAGTCCTTAAACAGGGACTTTTCCACCTGAGCGTGGAGGCCATATGAACTTCAAGGGGTTTATAGGGAGCCTCTGGTCTGACGCTGGCTTTAGAACATAGTTTTCTTTATATTAAGCCTTACAGCACATGCAGACTTAAAAGCGTAGCTATCATTTCTTTTTCCACAGACAGTCGGTTTAAATTGATACAGAGTTGTTCTTTTAGTTTAAGTTAAACGACAGGCAGATAGAAACTTGATTTATCCACCAGTGTGATTTTGATTTTAACTGAAATAACATGATTTTACTTTTTATTACGCTCAGTCTGGTTAACATGTTCTTACAGAGGAAGTGCAAAGTGACAGACAACAATGGAAAACATCTTTTCGGAATTAAATATTAGGTTTCGGAATCAGGAAGTTTTCACATAGATTTAATTTGTACCTGTTGTGCTACTCGTGTTGAATTGACAGTTCATTTATTATGAGTTGAATCTAAAGTAATACTTGGCTTTTTTTTTAATTCAATGGATTTAAAAGGGAAAAAACGTAGGCTCCTTAATGTCCACTTTCTTTTTCTTTGCAAATTTCCTTTGCTCTAATATTAAACTTATGTCGCATGGCAAGCTTATTTATATGGTCCTCTGCACTGTCAGTGGAATTATCCCACGTGTTTTTTTTAAATTCTCTTTTTCTTCCCTTTATTCTTTGAACCAACTCAGGTTCTGTATCATGTTTTATAGTTGCATGTGATTGTATCTTAAAAGCTCTGCTATATTTAACAAATTAGCTTCAGTTTAGAATTAGAGACTAACAAATACATTCTTCTCTCAAACATGGAAGTAAGAAGAGGACGTTTCTCACGTAGATCAGGCTGGAGAAGTATCTCTCACGCAGGTTGTGCAGGACGGAGGCTTCGTTGAGGAAGGTGAGGGCGGCCATGTCCTCCACTTTGCTGAACTTGGGCGGGTTCATCTTCTGGATGTCGTCTTTGTTTATTGTCACCTTGTGACCATTGGAGAGCTCCACCAGCACCTGCAACACAGAGACAGGAATAAAACTAGTTTTCTATACTTATGCGCTGGTTTTGAAGACAAGAATCAAGCCTTATGTTTACATACAAACCGAATAAATGTGCATAAACATGTTGCAGCTATGAACACTTTCTATGTGCTGGCTTTAAGGGGAAATAGTTTAAGTTCTGGAGACTTTAACATCCAGAAATCCAGTGAGAGATAATAAAAGGGCAGCAAACAGTGGAAAATTGTTAGTAGATCAAATATAAATGTTTTGTTCATATGTAGCCATTTGTTTTTTATAAGTTCATGTATTAATTGTTAAATAGTAGTTTCTTCAATTATACAAAAAGGAGAGTTTAAAACACTTTCCTCTTTATCATCCTTGGAGATAAAGACATACAGTACAACCTGAAGCATATGAGGGACAAATTCTGGAAAACTTCTGGAATTAGTTTTGTTCATTTTTGGAGAATTAGCAATATGTCTCTGGTGTTTTCTGTCTTTTTCTGGCATCATTATGTTTGTGTTTTTCATTGTCATGAGTTTGTAATAAATGCAGTAAAACAAATATTTACAAAAACAAGTTGTTGGGTTTTTTTGGTTTGTTTTAATGAAGGCAAACGTATTCAGTTTGTTTGAAGTGTACCTTTTCTGTAGACTGGAGTGTCTATTATTTCTAACTCATGCGATTAAGGCAGGGTGACTGTCAACACGAGGCGCTGACAGAACCTTAAGTGAATGCTGACTGGATTACGTTTTAGCTTTGTATGCTTTAACATATGCATACATTATTGTACTTGGTGCCCATTTTTAAATTATGTAAAGTGATCAAGTCACAGATTGTGTTCTGACAGCTGTAACCTACAAATGACGATCAGCTTTCTTTTCTTCATTGCAAATTGAAGGTATATTGAGATGTGTGCACTAGACTGGGATATTGCGATGTAGAGTATATAGTGCATTTGATGATATATGGTGATGTAATGATGTGTAGTTGTCATATTTACATATTATGTATGTGTATATATTTCTTTGCAAGTTTTGTGAGCTTAAACAAATAGAGTATTTTTAGAAACAGAAAAAATGTTAACCTACTTTCGGCCATAAATGCTGCTGTATTGTTTCATATGTGACATATGTGTCTCTACACCAGTGAACTTTGATAATAAAGAATGAGACATTATCATGATATCATACCTGGTCACCCTTCTCCTCCTTGATGCTGGCCTGCTCAAAGCCCTCCCTCTCTGACGGCACCCACACCATCTTCTTGGCCATCCAGTCGGCCTGAGCCACCCCGCTGTTGCGGAAGTCATTCTCCAGGAAGAGGAACTTGCTGTCGTCAACAGCCGGATCAGCCATGTTGGAAGTATCGCTGTTGGCAGGTGGATCAACCTGTGGGACGCAAGCAGCGGCGGCAGCAGAGTCAGAGGCTGGCGGTTCAGAGGTGGTCGAGCTGACGTCTGGTTGGTCGCTGGCGACTGGGTCAGCCTCTGGAGCGGCGCTGGGAGCTGAGTTGTCCTTTGACCTCGGTTTGACCTCGGGCCTGTGACACACAGCAGAAGTCACACACTGAAAATGTAAACTACAATGTGTAGTTCAACGGTCCTCCATCATGGTAAAAACCTGAAAGTCAACAAAACTTCATGCCACTGATGACCTTTTTTCACTTTTTTGTATCCAGTGACTCATGAGATAACATGAAACCAGAACTGGTCGATTCTAGTCCACACCTTTAGGGTTTTTATTGGCTCAGAATGGGCCTTGAGGGGGTAACTACGCACTAAGCACGATCAGCCCACATATACTAAGGGCAATGTGTCTTTGTTGCCTTATTTGACAGAAATCTAACATTTTCATGTTAATTCTGACTATTTCATAAACAAAATGTCTATTATGCTCGAGTAAAAGAAACCTAAGTCAACAAAACTGGTTAATTCTCAATTCTTATCATTCTGGCTCTGGTGAATTTCCTTTGGCGCTGCCTAAACCCTCTATGGGAGACACTTAATACCTCTTTGGGAGTTGCCAAAAATTCCTCGATCCAGGACAAACCCTGTACCTCAAACGCTTTAGCCGAGCATTTCTCATCAGTTTATGGTGCGGCTTGCAGAATTTTAGCAGGATTCTTTAGCAGAATTTAACAAACACCATTTCAGTTTTGCAGATATTCATTTCATGGGAGGTGCTGATTTTTCTGAGCATGTGCAAAGAACAACCCAGAGATATATGTTTTTCCTGATAAACTGATGAAAGAAATCAGAGATTAGATTGACGTACAAATGCTGGCGGAACAGAGGCTAGTTTGTCTTTGTACACCCGACCCACTGGGGAATCATTTTTCCACTGCTTACTGTCGACAAAAGTCTGTCCATGCTAAATTAATGCAGCCAAATGTTAGCCACCTGATCAATTCCATATATTCAAAATGCAAGTTTTGTTAGACTTTCCTTGCCTGATAAAAGTCTTTTTAAATCTACAGTAGAGTTGGAACCATTACATGAATTGCCAACTATTTTGACAGTCAATTCATCAATTTGAGTTTTTCTTTTTTAGGCAAAAAAAAATTCCAGCGTCATAAAATCCAAAATTCTCTGGTTTCTTTACTCCTCCATGTCAACAAACTAAATATCTTTGATTTGGAGATAACATGCAACCTTTGAGGGTGCCATCTTGGGCTATGGGAAACACTGATCAACATTTTTCACCATTTTCCAACACTTTATAGATCAAACAACTATTTGATCATTACAGAAAGCAGCTGACACATTAACAATGGAAAATAATCATTAGTTGCATCCCAAGTACACACTCTCAGTTTGCAACGCAGACTTTCAGGTACTCAAGTTGAGGTAACTCTGACGACATCACAATGACATCATTGGGTTCATTTCAGGGTACCGGACATTAGAAAGCTCCCAGCAGAGCCACAGAAAACATCCCAGTACTCGTCATAACTGGTGGACTGAGCTTTTTATGTAAAATCTATTAAGAGCCCCTTTAAAGACATGTGAAAAGTCCTACAGGACAAAAAACAGATACCAAAATGCAACAGACAACCGATTTAGTGACGCAAACATCAAATCTTATCAAATACAGAAAAAAATCTTCAATCACAAACGAAATAACACTTGAATCAACACAATGCATTTAGTACATCAAGTGCAGGTACATCCACTTCATCCCCAGCTCCCTCTGTGTCCTTGTGTCTTTAAAAAAGACACTTAACCACAAAATGCTCCTGACACCTTCCATAGCAGGACACTGTTAATAGGTGAATCAGAATCGCACACAGCATCAAGCAGGTGATGCCAAATGACAGTCACCATGTGTCCGATTTGTCAAATTTTCTCAGGTAACTGTACAGCCATTTAAATGGTCACATAGCTCTTTATTTACGCCCCTTCACAGAGAAGATTCAGAAGTGAAAAGCATCATGAAAAGACACATCAGCTCAGTTTTTCCTCCTCAAACTGCTGCCTTTGGATCTGAAAGTCACACAACTCATTTACATTTAGTTTTACTGAACTGTCCTACAGATCACTGTGGATAACATCCAATTTCCCTATTTTTGCATTGAGCTACTTACTCACTTATCCTTGTCTGTGTCTCTTCGTGCAGGTCACAAGGCTGCTTTGACCTCCCATTGAACAGCAGGCAATAAAACATGAAAAGCAGCACACAGATAACCCCTAGAATCAAACAAGTGAGCTGCCATGCTGGAATGCCCATGTTTGGCTAACCCTTTGCTCCTGGTAGCTTGGTATCCCAAAGAGGGATGCTAGGGACTTAGCAGGCATACTACCTTATAAGGTGCAGCTCATGTGTCCAGCCAAGCTTACCGTTTACACCAAAATGGTGACATGTCACAGAGTGCATCCATGTGTGGTCACCAGCACACAGGCAAAAACAGAGCAGGATAGAGGGCATAAATCAACATGCAGCATCTCCAGTGAGGGATTCAGCCATCTTTATCAGGATGATTGATCTGAATGGAAGCCAGTCAGCCAGCCACATTTTAGATTTAGGCTATTACACAACTATTCTCTTCAATTTTCTTTTATAGCAAATATCATCATTTTTGTCTTAGAAATGCCAGAAAATGGCCTTCACCTCCTAACAAGCAGCTTTTTGTTTTTTTTTTTGCAACATGCATTTTGCATGTTTAAATGATAATACTTGACCTTGCAAATAAATAAAAACAACTGCATGGAGGCAGCATACAGCTGCCAGCTGGGTTACATTGTCCCTGTAGGAGTCAAATTAAAGAGTCCATACTCACCGTTCAGTGCTTCAGTCCTCAGTGCAGGATGAACTCCAGGGAAATGAGAATACCATGTCAGGTAAATGAAGTGATGATGATGATGCCGTCCTTCCTCATCCACACTATTTAAACCTGCCCGCGACACCTGGGGGTGGAGCAGCACAAGAGATCCGCCTCGTTTCCAGAGTTAGAGTAAAGCCAATCAGGAGATCTGCCTTCAAAATAAGAGCCCTTATTTGTTTCGGATGAGTGCTCGTATTTGCTGCTGAAATGATGATTGAACAGTTTCTCGTTTGTTTTTCGTCTGTTAAGTGGCACAATAAGTACAATTTTAGCGATTTTATGTGTGAATTTGAATGAACCTTTGTTGTCAATACACAATGTAAAAGGATATTTTGTCTGATTTCTTACTTGGTGGACAATTTACAACATTTCCAAAGACAGATTAGAAAAACTGCTTAATCAGCATCTTGAAAAAAGGTAAGAGCAGCAGCATCAGTGGAAAATTGGCAGTGCAAATCGTAAATATAAATAAGAAACAGCAGCACCAGAGTTCTAGCAGCAGACTAAAAGTGAATGCAGTGTTTGATAGTTTCACAGTGCTGTTGCAGTGGAACAATGGAGGCCACGCTTCTGTGAAAGAAACTGTTCTTCAGACTGTTGGTGTTCAGTCTGATGCCAGAGGACACTGAGTCAAACAAGGAGTAGCCGGGGTGTGTAACGTCTTTGTAAATAGTGGTTGCTTTCTGTCTGAGTTTGTTGAAGTAAATAGTGTCTGGTTAATGGAAGCTCCAACCCAATGATGCGTTTTTGCTTCTTTGTGCACCATTATATATAAACACAGCATGTAATATGATATTAAATTCTATCCACCCCAACAAAAATGCACACAAAAGAAACAGCAAATGAACATAAACAACTCACAAATTACACCTGGAGTTTGTGCTAGTACTGTTTTTAAAAGCTACTTTTATTTTAGCAACTGCAAATACAAATTCAACTTTTTGGCACTGAATATTTTTTGAGATATTGACAGATATTTGTTGTGTTTTTGTTTTTTTAAATCCCCATGTCCATTTTTTTGTATGTTGTGCAATATTTTCAATATTATTATTGTTTTTTTTTTAACAAAATCCAAAAGTAATCCAAAAGTTTTCAGATTAGATTACATTTTTTGTAATCCAATGGATTACATTACTGTTTCCATAAATTGTCTTGCAATTTGTATTCTGTAACTGTTTACATTTTAAGATAACCTTACCCAAACCTGAGACCTATCATGCTGAATATTGGGAACTTTACCATAAAACGTCGCTTTGTATGGTTTCAGTGCCTAGAGTCTTCTAAAGGGAAGCATCTTCAAAAAGAAAAGTACTCCGGCTACCAATAAGGTCCAAGTTTAGTCACATACATTTATTTTGAAAAGCGTACGCGAACAAAAAAAACGAGTCTTGAGTCTTCCTGGCTTGCCGTAGTTCCGTTTCCATGGTGACACCAGCAAACAACTAAGGTAGCTAATGTGCTAATATTTTACAAAGTTAACAGGTTTCTGCTCTGAAAATAAAATGTCTGAGCAGGATGAGGCTCCGGAGCAGGAGGAGTTTGACAAACTCTTCACCGTGTTTGACGGCTCTTCTCCGGAGGACGTGTCTCATGCCAGACAGCTGTGGAGCTCTCTGTCCCTGCTGCCGCCGCTCGAGTCCCGTCTGGTGTCGGCAGATATCCGCCAGAGGCTGCCGGTGTCCCGGCCGCAGCGCAGCAGCACCGCCGGTCCCAAACCCTCCGCTCCGGAGCCGCCGAGTGTCCGGGCTGTGGGGCAGCTGCAGGAGGAGAGGCAGCGGTACGCAGCCATGGCCGACCAGAGGAAGGAGATCCTGGCTCTGTTGAGGAGGCAGAGAGAGCAGAGGATCCAGAAGGAGCTGCTGTCTGTCGCCTTTAAATCGAAGGTGAAGGTCGGCAGAGGAAACGTGAGGAAATCACAAGAAGCTTCAGAGTGTGAGATGGACAAGGAGCTGGTCAAACAGCTTCAGTAACAAAGGACTGATAGAGGGACAGACATGTCAAGATTAAAGAGCAGTTTACCAAATGCTTTACCAGACTGGATATGGAGGTTAAGCTAATTGTGTTTTGATGAAAAAGAAATGTATAAATACTAGGATATATAAAATATATTAATAATATATTACCTGAAGTCTAAACTGAGCCCTATACATATTGTAACAACAGACAAGTGTGGACTGGATAAGTAGTAAAGTGAATGTATTTACTATAACCTTATATGTGGTCTGCTTGCCAAGCCAACGCAGATCGAGCTTTGATTATCTTGACAAATCTGACAATTATTTAAAACAACAACAACAATAATTATTGGTTCAACAAAACATCAGGAAACAAGTATGATACTCCTCCAGGACCACAGTCCAGACCAAACAGTGGATGGCCCTCGTATGAAAGCATTTTTTTTACGTGGTTCAGACCAAAGTTCTTGTAGACATGTCTCACCAGTTAACAGCCATCTTGATAAAACTCCAGGAGAGTTGTTCCTGGCTAATAGGACCAGGCTCCTGTCTAAATGAGTAAGAGAGCCATAACTGCAATTTCAGTCACGGCATTGACACAACGACATAGAAGCACCAGTCTAATCAGATAAACGCCGCTTGAAGAAAATGTAGACTTTTCCATCACATAAGGAATAAAAACAGCTTTTCGTCCAAAGGTTATACTTCTAATACGAATACACACAGTTTCATGACTTTGACATCAGTGCAACAATATGATTGACTGAATACTTCCTGGTTTAGTTCATATAAAGCAAAATATATTTTGCTGGACAGAATGGGTCATCATTCAATGAGAAGGACAGCTGCCCTTTTATGACGCTACCCAGGCTTGTGACGACCTGGATAGTGAGTCATGTGAAGTTTGTTAGTGTGCAAACTGAGAAACCAAAACTAACTTGATCAAATGTACAAAAACATGAACGTTGGTTCAGGCTTTATGTATGAAAAGGCCCTTAAATTACAAACCTGGCTTTTATCACGGCATCACAAACATGAAGGAACATTGATCTCAAACTGGCCTTCAGGATAATATTGATAATAAGCGTCAGACCGTAACTGGCGTCTGCTACAAACTCACAGTACACAGCAGTTTGCCTCAAACAGCATTACGTAAGGTGAAGTGAAGCCTGTGTGGATATTCAAATTCCAAATGTCCAGTGGAGAAGGCCCAACCATAATAGGATAAGAAGAAGTCTGCTGACTGTTGACTTTAACTAATTTGGTTAAAGTTTTCAAAGCAGACAGCGCACACAGAAGCACGCCGTCTATAAATGCTCTTTAACCTCTCACACCCTGATGATGTGTGTAATTCACCCTTGAGAAGCTTTAAAGTGATCCTCCATCCAAAATCAACCTGAAGCATCAACAGTTGCCTTCTGTGCCGGCTTTAATAAGTCCAGAGGGTCCTAACTCATTTTGAGGGAGAATATTAAAACACACTATTGCTCTGCATCTGGAGAAAACGTTTCATTGGGGAGAAAAGGCATCAAAAGCTAAATATTAAATCATATCAGTACTTCTCATTTAGCGGCTCAACATTATGCACCTGTCAGGACATTTCTTCAGCTGCAGGAGATCTGGACCACCCTTCTTACAGTATAACCACTGAAAAAGAGTTTCTATGCCCGACTGCTGCACTGTGGACCTCAGGCCTGTTTCATCAGAGACAATCCTATTCAAAGGCTGCTGTGTTTCTATGTTGATATTTTCACAGACTTTAATGGTGACAGGTGACTTAATCTGAAGTCAAAACACAATCTCGCCTCATGAATGAGGATGGCTTGGAGAGATGTCAGTATGATTGCTCCTGAACAGGCAGGTTAGTGAGAGGGAGAAGTAATGAAATCATGAATGATGTGACAAAGGAAGAGAGTGAAAAAACGATGAGAGACTGGAATGCTTGCTGGTATACTGGGGCAGTATTTTTCTTGGAGGAGGAAGTGGAGAGATTTCATACCCCCATTCTTCTCCTCATTCACTCACTGCTTGTTCTCCTTTTCCCTGTGATCTGCCAAGGTTACATATTACTCATTCTCTAAAATAATTTAACAAAATAACAACTTTTAAAGGTTCATCAGTCAATCAAGCAGTCTCATTTAAATGAGAAAACCCTTCCAAACTCCAGTGGTAGTTCTCAAGTTCAGAAGTTGTGAGCTTTTTAAAAAGGGCTTCTTGCTGAGCCACCCACAACTTTTTATGTCATGCTAAATTGTAATTCTCTGCATCAGAGCCAAATGAATAAATGATCAGGGCTGATGAAAAACAAATACATATATTTAGCTTTTGACTGCGGGTAAAACGAACTCAAACAAAACAGTGAGCATGAGATAAAGTAAAATCCAGGGGAGGCTGACTCAGCAGTCTTGAGCACTAAAATGGCAATGCCATTCTAAAATAACAGTCTTGTTGTTTTCCATTGAGGTTTGCATTTGTTTCCTGTGGCAGGATGTCAGCCATGGCTGTAAACAGTAAGGCACAGCTCCCTCCTGCTGCAGTAGCTCTCAGGTTTAGACCAATGGATCTCCTTCACCATACCTTCAGGCCTCAAACAGCTCCTTCCCCTGACCGAGCCCATCTCCATACAGCTGAATATCGATCAAGACTGGTAATCCTAGCTGGCTGCAGGAGAAAAGAAGGAAGGGTCAACTGTTCAAATGTTTAGGATTTAATACCACATTCGGGGTTGTGATTTTTGTAGAAAGCTACATGTTTCTGCCCAGTCACCTGTATTTCTCAGTTGCAGTTTCTACAGCATCAGTTATCTTTTTAACTTACAGAGACAACGATAAAACACAAGAACTAGACACATGTAGGTTGTGTGAATTGTACATTTGAATGATGATATCTTTCTAGGAAGTTCCTGCTGCTCATAGCTGGAGAGCAGAGGGTGTGTCTCTCTGAACTTTGCCACCACACATACTGTGTGACAGTCGGGCAAACAGGAACCAAAGCCATGAACAAAAATCATTACAAAGGATTTTTTAGGTGTTTCTGAACATGTAATTCTTCATTCAAGCTTGTGTTTACAGGCTCCAACCTCCCCGCGACACTAATGAGGATTAAGGACAGATAATGAATGTGTAATTAGAAGCTAATTTATGTGGATATGAATACATATACAGCAGTAGAGTGACCATCTTCTACCTCCTACATCATTAAGCTCTATGCCAGGAGTGAACGACACATTGATTCACTGATCCTAATTGCCAGGATCTGCAGCGAGGATATACATGTAGCTGAATGGTAGAAAAGAGACATAAAGTGATCAGGACTGAAAAAGTAGACTTATAAGAAGGCATACAGAAAATCTGCAAGTACCCGATTATCCCAGTGGCCAATGGGAGCCATGATAAGGGTACATGGAGGTCCACCCCAACCTTTAGAGAGTAAGGTAAGTGCTGAGAAACTAGCCCAGTGGTCAGAACAAGATTCAAGCCATCAAGCAGCCAACACGTTTTTAATGTTAATACATACATGGTGACTTGTCTGATCTATTGGACTTCACTGACATCTAGTGGTAACAGTTCACACAAGCTTTTTTAAAAACTGCAAGATAACTTCAGTTGACTGTGAGTTCTCCTACTGATTGCTGCTACAAACACTGCCAAAGTGATTTGGTTTGTTGAGGTACGTCATACATGGAAGACCCTGGATAGGTGATGGATATCTTTTTCTTGTTCTCTGTGTGACCTTGTATGGCCGCACAAAGTGGACTGCAGGGCATCTGTCTTGATTGGTTTGAGACTGTGACTGAGTGTGTAGGAATTCCAGGAGCCGTTTGGCTTTAGGGTTTGAAAGGCTGGTATTTCCAGCTCCAGTGGACTGTCCTCTTCACTTACACCGTTCCACCAGCCAGCATGTTGGGATCTGCCAAGTTATTACTGCAACATGTAGTATCATCTTGGTCCTAAACAAGCCTCTGATTGTTTGTAAAGGTGACAGCAGTTATTTTGTTTGATCTTCCATTTCTTCTGTTTTTGAGTTTTGACATTAGGTAGGAATTTATAGTTGTGTTTCCTTCTGAATGCAGGCTAACCTTTTAGTAACATTATACATTGTTGCATATAATACACACAACAGGCTCTTTGCTGTGCAGCTTCTGGATATACTTGTTTTTGTTTGAGGCATGGGGGACGTGGAGTTGTAGCTGTATGACTTTACCACTTTATACATTAACTAAAATTGGATAAGTGAAAGAAAGACGTCAACTTCTTTAATCTTCATGTCCCTTTGAATGTAAAAAACTAACTAACCTAAAGCAAATTTTTCTTGGTGTCTCCCAGCTAGTTGTATTCTACAGCTCAGTGGAAGATGTGTGAATTGGCTAAACTGTGTCTAAGGAAAAACGCTATGCAAAACATGCATCTTTTACATTTACTGGCCTCTGACAAAGAATTAAATAGGATAAACATCAAATAACAAACACCTGGCGCACTGACAACAACATCCTGGAACCCACAAACACACAATAAATTGTGAATGCTGAACTAAAGTAGATATTAAGTACTTTAAATTAGATTAAAAAAAAAACAAAGAAATATTACCACTTACAAGTAGTCAAAGTTTATATCAAAAAAACTCCATTGTACCAAAGGAGGACCCCAACCATGTGATGCTCTAGTCTTCTGACAATACGAAGCCTTAGTACAGCCTTCACACAATCAGGAGCAACCACATTGTATGAAAAAAAGAGACGTCAAACACTGGATATCTACCACAAAAAAATAAAATAAATAAAAAATCAATGGCAGTTTTAGCATAATATAATAATATTGCCAAATTATCTCATTTCCAAGAGAGACCATAAACTGAGTGGCAACACAGAGACAAGAGAGTCTGTTCTATCAACAAGAGTCAATAAGAGGGACACAGTGACACTTAGAAAAAGATAGCTGTTTACCAAAATACTCAAATACAAAGTCCAATGAAGAATATATTTACAGTTCCTAAAATGTTTTTCAGTCATTACTGTA